CGGGTTTCTTTCTAGATATGAGTTATGATGATTGTATGGTTGTACTTTTTCGGGAGTTATTGGGGGTATCCAATGGCGTTGTACAATTTTAATATAATATATGAATTCAATCTCATTGAACTATGACATATGTAGTTATAATACAATTCTCTAGTCCACTAGTACATAATGTAGCGGAGCGTCGTATAGTGTAGTATATACTAGCATGGGGGGTATATAGTATGGGGAGTACTAGTATAGTCTATCTCGGGCTAAAGCGCCCCGAAAGTGGATTCCAATGCATCAATCAAAGACATGTATATTGTATCAATAAACCGAGGGTCGTCTTTCCATGAGCTCCATATAATCAGCTTCTCCCTTTTCACTTGAATTCAATTACCACAATCCAAATACCCTACAAGTACACCTAAAACCATACCCAGGTATATCATCCACCTTTCACCACCACCCACACCACCGACCCAAAACTAAACCCTACAAAACCAGACCACACACCCCAACCATATATAACCCGACTTACAACATCTACACTACACCCACACCAAAGCAAGCACAATGCCCGTCCGCCGAATCGCCCAAATAGTTCACCTGAAGCCATCCGCCCTGGCCGCCTACAAAGAATGTCACGCGAATGTGTGGCCCGAGGTGCTCCAGCAGATTAAGGACTGTAATATCCGGGATTGTATGCAGCAGTGGCCCTTGACTGAGTTTCTTGGAAGTGGTGAATTGGGGATGGGCTAATGAAGATTGTTTAGATTCTATTTTCTTTGATAATGATCGGACTTTGTTTGCGACGTTTAAGTATGTCGGGGATGATTTCGAGGGAGATATGGAGAAGATGAAGGCGAACCCTAAGGTGAGGGAGTGGTGGGCGATGACGGATGGGATGCAGGAGAGTCCAACTCCTGGGGCTGTGGGGAGTGCGGAGGGACCTTCGTGGTGGAAGCCTTTGGAGGAGGTTTTCTATACGGATTAAGAAAATGAAAATTTTACGATTACAACACGAAATTCATGCACGATAAAGAGTTATTTATTTCCATCGGCGGGACAAGGTCGACCGCTGAGATTAATTAAGACAGCGCCAGACGCAAAAGATTCGTAGCTAGATATTTCCAAAGATTTCCAGACAATGACCAGCAAATCCGGACACCCCAAGAAATTATCTATCCAGACTCCGTATCCTTGCCGGCATATGCTCCAAATGCTATGATACAGGAACGAGTAAGAAGGATATGAAGGGTATCAGCACCAGGAAATTCCGTCGCCGCCCAAGAGCCGCTCCAAAACGCCCTGTCAAGAGAACAAAAGGATATGGAAAGGAAATTGTCGTCGCTCATTAAGTAGTGAACTGGAATGTAACCGACTAGACAGTCAGCTACTGCCCAGGGGCAGGACCTCCGGGTACATCCTTCAGGATCTCCCATCCGTATTCCTCCTCTGGTCTCTCCGGCTCCATACCAAGAGCATTGCGGTAGGCACGGATTTCGTTCTGGAGCCCAGCCACGACGCGGATCGGCACATTCTCTTCTTCGCAACGAATACGATAGGCAGTACGAATCATCTCCGCACATTTCATGGTTTGATTATGCCAGTGATCACGCTCCAGGCGGCTCTGCAGATGCGCATCGCGTTCGTTTTGGAGGAGATTGTTGTAGTGTCGTTTCTGCGCCAGATACTGCAAGTTGTTGTTCTGGCAGTAGTTACGTATTTGTTCGACCATTGTACCAACTGCCTGTTCGTATTCCCCAATAAGCTTTGTGTTTTCCTCCTGTTCGTTTCGCAAGACCTCGTTCAGGCGCTTTTCTCTGGCCAGGGCGCGCTCTAGTTCGGTTATACGGGCAGCTGTGGGTTTTGTCAGTGGCTACATGTGCAGATATTGAGTGGGAATCCTACCGGAGATCTCGCCGTTGACTTGTTGCACGCTTGGAGAGGTGCCTTCCGAGGCAGAGCGTCGCTAGATGATCGTTAGCTCAGTGCGCGACTAAGGGTGGCGCTAGACATACCATGACCTCCTCAGCGCTGGAGACGATACTTTGTGTCATCTGACGATTGTTTTTCAAAACCTCGCTCAGCTCCAGGACCATATCGTACAGATGATGGAGATCCATTTGGTGGCCAGCATTCAAAGGGATCCCCGCGTTCATGCCAGCGATCCCAGCACCATTGACCTGACTAGGAGTGTGAGACATGGCAGGAGACATTGACTGACGAGGCACGTTGGTCATATTGGATTGGTTACTCGCGTTACTCGCGTTGTCGACGCCGCTCGAGAAGGAACCAGAGTCGGGGGTACTGCCACTATTCATGGACCGAGCGACTGCGTCAAAGTCACGGTTAAGACTCTCCAACTGAGGGTCAACAGAGGGGTCAACCGCGGGCAAGGAAGCTTCGTCGTCGAATCCAAAGCCAGGAGTGTCGATGCCTAAGACGTCCCTCCGAAAGCGCTCCAAGTCCAGACGAGTTACGTGAGTGGAACGCCGACGGTGGCCAGGCACGAACGATCGCCTAGCGGGAGTCTCGGGGGTAGTTTCACCGATGATGATGATAGGCTGGTTAGGGGCAACAACGGAATCAGTAATGATAGCAGGAAAATGAGCCAAAGAGACAGGAAGAAGAAATCGTACTGTACGAGAGGGGGTGGTAGTTTGTTCATCACCAGTATCACCTTCACTATCACCAAACTGGTCAAGCATCGGACTTTCGGAAGCTGAGTTCCGATCTTCCGGATCTCCCTCCAAGGCGGTCAGCATTCTGCTATGCATCTCTTGAAACCCTGTCCTGTTTGGCTGGTGATCCCATGGAATATCCCCAAGGATATCTAAACAAAATCTTAACAATCAAGGGCGAGGAATGAAGGTCTGCCGTACAAGTGTGAATGTGTTGGTGGTAGTGAATAGTATGAACAAAAATATTTCAAGGCAGTGCAGCCGAGCAGGTAGGGAGTCCCTTTGCTTTTCCTCCTCTGTGTTTGACCTTCACTGGCACCTTCTGTGAGTGGTGCAGCGGCGGTGATTTTCTTACAATGACCTTCCATCCCTTGCACTACTGAAGAAAGCAATGGGCCCTGTTAAATTTAGGACCGCGCTTTCTCATTTGGAGGATAAGATTGAGATCTACTGATTATGTCGACATTCCATACATTTACATTCACATCTACATAAATCTAGAGTCATCATTACAGCCTCGACGGCTTTTGCCCCGTAGATTTCATTATCTTTCTTTTTCTTTTATTATTTCGATTGTTTTTTCTTTCTTTCTATCTTTCTTTCTTTCTTTTTTTTCTCCATTTCCCTTGTTTCCCTTCAACCCTTGATGCCATTGTATTTTCCTCCTCGCCTTTGTTTTTTATCATGTTCAATCACATTCCTCACCCCGTCATATCGAGGAGGGCTTCCAGCTTTTGGTCTGAGTCCAACCGATATGAAGCCGGATCCTCCTGACTATCGAAGCGCTTCTTGCTATGCTGGATGCGACCTCCCACCCGCGCAACGAGCATCCTCATCTTCTCCAATTCCTGCACTAGTTCGCCATCCCGAGTAATAAGGTTCGGCTGAATATTCTGCTGTGGTTCCTGAAATGGTTCCAAAAGGCGCTGTAACCGGCGTAACTGTTCCAGACGCCGTCGGCGCTGCTGTCGCTGGCTGTCGAGAGTGACCAGGCGTTCTCGTAACTTCCGATACCTGTAACCACCTCCTGTCAGCCGGATGAAACCCAAATCACCACATTGTAATCTAACCTGAGACGTTCTTCCTCGTTTGCGGACTGGTCCTCGAGTTCCACGGGGAGCTGTGTAAGATTCCTGATACACGTCAGTCGCTGAGTAGGGACGTTCGCGGTCGGGGGAGACGGAGGTCTAAAAAAGTTGCAACTTACAAATGGTTGGACAAATCAACCGTCTTCTCAATGCCTCTCTCAAATGAGTTCTGGTCACGTATCGCATCATTCACGGACGTCCAGTAGAGGCTTGCGATTTGCTGTGCGACATGTTGGATCGCCTGGGAGGAGTATACGATGCGATTATGCTGCTTCAATGCGCTATTCACTACAGCCCAGTCAGCAAGGAAACAAAGAAGGCCAAATCAACATAGAGCTTCAAACGCAGTCACTAGCATGGGACCACGACCGTAGCCAAGCAGGTGTTCCACGAACCGTACATTTTTGTAGGACATCCCCGACCACCTTATCGCTCAGGTCATCCTCCTCCGAGGCAGCGGCATAGCTTCTCCAATCCTCGGGCGCCTCGAGGCTTTCGGACAGGATGCGCACCTGCGCCCGGATGAAGGAGGATTTCAGTTCAGAAATGGTACGCGTTGAGTCCATTTCCCCATCGCGCCGACTTCATTGTCCGTCGCAGCAGCGACCACTTACGCTAGTGATGTGCTATCGATAATGGGTCACGTGTCAATCCTGCTAAGTAAGGGGTGGTGGTGCGTGCAGCCGTAATCTCAATACCGTTACTATTCTTGTACTGTACAAGGAGTATTTTCCCCCTTGCCTTCGTAGACAACTTGTCAACAGACAAGGGAGTGAGCAATCAGAAAGTCTGTGTTTGACGTGACAGTTGACAAGATATAAACAAAAACACCAGCTCCGAGAAGAATCGGCAGTGATGGGTAGTCTACGTATCAAATGAAAACAGCCAGGTGCGTTGTATAGTGTCTGGGCATTCCGAAAACGTGAAGATATATATCCTAGTTATGACTTCGGATACTTAGGATTAGTCGAAGCAGCAATTTGGCATGCCTGTCTAAGAATGATAACAAATAAATATATCAAATGAGATAACTATTTCCTCTTACTCCTCTATTTTAGAGGTGCTATATAGACCGCGCAGGTAAAATCAAAAACATAAAACACGTAATGCTGGCGGCTCTACGGTGATGCCATGATGATTACTCCGTATGAGTACAATGCCTCCAGAGACGGAACATAAAAGACGGATTATAACATTCCAGGCTTTTTCCTTATATAACCTGAATTTGAGGATTCAAATATCCACCGCCCGGATGGTCTAGTGGTATGATTCGCGCTTAGGGTCAACCCTGAAGCATACAATTGCGCGAGGTCCCCGGTTCGATCCCGGGTTCGGGCCTATCTTTTTGGTTTTTTTTGTACTTTCAGTGCCCTCAACGACAGTAAAACCATGTGCTATGCGTGGCCTGATTCGTCTGAGTATCCCCGCCAATACGAGATCCATATGGACGGACGTACGAAGTACCCTGCCTTTCGGCAAGGAGCCTCCAAGATTGTTGCAAAACATGTTGGCTTACTCTAGTCGAATCAGTTTTGATACAAGCCTTTACAATGATGTCTAGCTTACTATTCGCTCTTAATTGCATTTACCTTGCACTGGACATTTGGTTACAAGGCTTTCGCGAGGGCTGTTACTTTAGTTTCCTGTTACTGCTTCTACCATCTAACCGAACTACTGGACGGATCCTTCAACGGGGATAATATCATGGCAGTAGGTTTGTTTGCTGTGCTTGTTTTATTATTCTACAAAGTGCAGGATATCCTTGGTTGAATATATTACGAAACCAGGCTCTATTTAACGAGATAACTAAGTAGGAGGGGTCTGATAGAACAATGAAACAAGCAAAGCAAACAAGCCCACTGCTATAACACCACTGCCATTTTAGGGCTATCCCTCATATAACCCTAATTTGAAGACAAATAATGCCCGGATGGGTAGTTGATATACTTGTGCTCAGTTTATGCCTATATGAAGGGGAAAGCAACATCAACCTGCCAACCAAGGTTGAAATAGATGGGGTGAGTCCGCCGTATCGTCAACCCTATAATGGTGGCAGATCCGACAGTTGCCATTTCACTGCCGTATACAATCCTAGTTGGAGTAACAGCTAAAACCGGAGCAGAACTCAAGCCCGCTTCGTACGTATATTGTCTAGGTCGTAGGTCACCAACCAATCGCCGGCGGGCTCATGCTCAGGCAGTTTGAGCTCCGGGTTGTGCCTGCTCATTCCCCTTGCAAATAGCACCCTGGCATAGGGGGGGTCAAAAACGAATGTCGTTTCACCAGTCTCAGAGTTTTTCAATTCCGCCGTGGCCGAAACCTCGTCTATGGCGACGTACTCCTCTGGGTTCGGTATAGTTGCTTTCTCAATTTGTTCCTTCACGTGCTTTGCAGTTTCGGGGTCGAACCGGACTTGCAGCAGACAATGTGGATACCACTTCTAGGGGAGTGAACCGGGGCTCAGTAGTACAGCGTCCGAAATCCGAACGTAGTCTGGATACTGAACGTTGTGAGTGGAAAACAGCCCTAATCGTACTACACATATCTTCTCAGTAATCTGACACGCAGCATGCCGACATTTCGATTTGCTTTTTACTTTGTGTGTGACGCAATATATACATACATAGTTCATACTATGGTGGCATGAGGATCTGTATATGCTATACTAGTGTTAATTTCATGTTTTGTATAACCACAGTACAGAATAGGGATACTGTCAGTGAGCCTCATCTACCATTGCACCACAAGGGATGTCTGATGACTTGGCCAATGTCTCGGAGTTTACCTCTGGCCAAGACATATAATTCTCCGCGATGTCAGATTCGACGACCGTCTAGATCTTCGAAAAGAGATACATATATGACATTTGTCGTACAAAATATCTGGGCGTCTTATCATATGATATGTAGTCAACAAGCTAAAACGCGAATTAACGTCGCGTTCGAAGGTAGTATCCACCGTCAACTTGCAGGAGAAACATTCCGAGTGAGCCTCCCTGAGCACCGCAGATGCAGATACGGACAAGAGAAACGGGGACTCACCCAGTGCAAGAACGATCGCTGCTATGGCAAGGCAATTGCTGAAGACTAGGAAACCTCAAGCAGAAAGTCTGCTGCGATCCCCAAAGGCTTTTTTACCTACGGAAAGTGCAGCGGCTGCAAGTCCACCAATTTTCACATTATCTGGACTAGACCAAAAGTGGAAGTAAATATTGTGGAAAAGAGTGGAATCCACCTATGAAAACAACTACATCTCAGGTGAATCCGAGTTGTGTGGTCATCCTTGGTGTCTGTCGAAAGTATCCAAGGCTCGATAGATGAGATGATGATGATGCTACCTGTACTTCGACTGTGGAACCTGATGCTCTTCGGAGCTGTGATACCTGGTTCAGCGCCAATGAGTCGACGGCTTGGACAGATAGAGAGACACCTTCGAATTTGTGGAGTGACGTATTAAGGAATGAGATTGTCTAGCCACTTTGTTGCAGTATCAGACACAGTTGAACAGAATTTGAAGTGCTATAGATCTAGATGCGGCTTCTCCTAGGTCATACCGTAGAAAGTCTCTCCAGAAAGGCGTTTGGTGTTGAGGCGGGGAAGCTCTGTGACACGCGATGTCACTTATACTATCATCCCATGTTGACTCGGAGGTATCCTGATTGGAGGCTAACAGGAGGACAGGCTGCACAAGGGCGGCTATGTATGGCTTGGGCCCCTATCCGGAACGTATTGTCTCTTGTTAATGAATTGATACAGATGGCCGCGCGCATTGAGCTGCATTTGGCATACCACAATGTCAGCTTATATGTTACATTCGAGGGTTTGCTTCCCCGCGTTTCCTTCTGTCTGAGCATGGGAAGTCTTAAGACTTTGACTATAAGTATGTGGGGTCATGTCTCTTCTAGGGACATCTTGTATCATCTAACATCGAGACTTCAAGGCCAGATCTACCAGCCGCTGGGAAAATTCATTGATTCCATTTTCTGTCATCAGAATGAAGTTCTACATACCCTTGACCGTTTTATTTGCAGCCTTGGCTATTGCTGCTCCAGCAGACACGGAGACAGATGATTCTGTTTCGACGGAGGCTGAAGCTGCTCCGGAATATTGCCGCGATGTCACTCGATACAATAAGTGTCTTAGGGTAGAGAATCCTCCTATCACTTTGTGCCCAGAATTGTACTAACGATAATTCGATAGTCTTGCGGAAGTCATAACGAAAGATGCCGTCGCGTGAGTCGAAGAGACTCGTTATTTGGAACGAAAGCAACTGACTAGGTGCTTTTCTTGAACAGGCATGCTACACACACTGGTGCTAGCCAACCAGCTCTTATGCACCGCTTCCTCGGATAGATATGTTGGGCTAGGTTGGGTTGGATACTTTTCCTGGCCCAACTGCTACCAAGTGGCTCACCAGTTTCAACAACCAGGGAGTCATTACGGGATGGGCGTTTTTGTCGGCAATGACTGGTGATCAGGTGTAACCCGACATGGTTATTTGTTTGCTTGTTTTGATTTTGATTCCATGAAAACCCTATCCTCTCATTTAGTATTCACTGGAGTGATCAATGAAATTATTATCGCAATAACATCGATTATCAGTAGTAATGCCCCGGCCATCAAGAATCGAGGGCAGAATATAGCATATAGCATAAGGTGGCGTCGTAGGACACTAGCCCATACTGCCGTTGACAACGCCCATACTGAGTAAACCAAAACATGAATTGCGTATGATTTGGCTACAGGATGCATTCCCCGTGGGTGTCCATCTCGTGCTATGACTAGAGGGATCGAAAATGCAGCGACAATTGGGCCAGCAAAAGTGTTAAGGGTCACAAGCAACGGGGACCATGGGTAGGAAAGATCCTGTGATAGGATATAAGCAGCTTCCCATTGGATGCTGGATAGAGTTGCATTATGTCCGGTGCCAAAGAAGTGGAGAGTTCCTAGAAGCGCAGCAATTGTAGGTGAGATCGTATAGTTGCGAGAGTGATTGAGAAGTTTGCGTAGGCTCAAGATCTGAAAATATAATATGGACAAGGAACCACCTCCCATTGGGCCACTCACCAAAATGCTGATCACCAATATAAATGTAGTGATGGTCATATGGTATCGAACAGGAGCCATGATCGTGGTCCATTTTGAGGTGAGAGCCATTCCACTGCCAGCAATCGTAATGACGAGAGTGGACTGAGAAAAGAAAATGTGAAGCCCCTTAGATAGCATATTGGAATGTCTACCTTCAAGCCAACCAATTCTGTTGGCAGAATCGAGGGTCCAGTAGACAGCATTGAAGAAAAGTGCCATGGGCATACCAACGTGACACCATGTCCAAACCCCTATATCTTGAGATATCAAGTCTGAGCCAAAGGCTATTCGAGTGGCCATTGGAATGAGTATGGCTATCAGATATGGGATGAGCAGTCTCCAGCCCATGGCGTTACCCAGGCGATGGTAAGTCGTTACGCAAAAAGGAAGTTGCTCTTCCCGACAATAACGACTTAGTGACACCATCCTGCACAGTATCATGAATGATACCGAGAGAAGAGCCCCTGGCGTATTCTTTATTCTGTCGAAGTTCCTATATGACATTGAAATGGTACATATGCCAAATGTTGCGAGGAATGTGAGTACAGTCTGGTTTTCCCATACAGTGTACGAATTGGACGCAAACCCGATAGAGAGCAGAATAGTAAGCGCAATCGCCATTATGTCCCAGAAGGTCGGCATTTGAGATTTTGTGGATACCTGAATCATCCCAAACAGATGAAATTGACAGGTGAATAGCATAATACTACTCATCGTAGCCCCCAGTATCACTCCATCCGACATGCGAGATTTCTCTGGCTCTACTATGGCATTATGGATCAAATAAGTGGCTATGGATGCTGCAGTGCCCAGTTTAATTGTCCTGGAAGAAGCACTGGGGATGAGATTGCATTGGTCCCACGCGCAAACACGAAGTAACAGTGCGACGGCTCCAGATAACAGGATTATCAACCCCTCTATTATGTGAGCCATATTGAACTGCGCCCATATGCTTTTGTAATGTTGCAAGATCTTTCCTTGGTAATCGCATAAATAGTGGTATAATGTCTTCAGAAACTCTTGGTCCTGAAAATCAAGTTCTTGCCCGGGGACACTTTGAGGAAAATCCGAATGGTTGTGCTCTAGGGCATGCTGCGCATTCTCTTCTACTATTGAGTATTCTCGGTGGAATCGTTCAATTTGTGCAAACGATAGCATGTATGCACGCACCAGTTGCCCCCAATTATTTCCGGCTGGTCCAAGGAAAGCCTCTTTGATAGGACTCCCTAGGCTATTGAAGGGAATGGGGAT